GGACTATTCTACCAACCAACCCTGTGCCCAAACCAGGACGTTAAACTTAATCCTCCCGTCCTCTCTCAGAATGGGTCCCCTGATTTCACAGATGGCCTTTTCCTCAGAGGATTTGAATATTTTTTATCGTTGTTATAATTAATTATTATCGTCGTCATCACAATTGGTTTCAGAGGCACCTACACGATTCTTTTAGGAATTTTAAGAAATTTTTGTCAGTCTAAACACATCGGGGAAGCATGAAGATCAGCTACAGCGTATTTTATTATTTACACAGATTTGACTTCTGTCCATAAATAAAATTACAATTGAGTATACAAGCAGAACATGCATCCTAACCCAAAGAAGGCAATTAGAACATGAAGAAAACACAGAGCAGCTTTTGGGTAAATAGACCCAAAGCGACATTACCCCTCCTTCAGTATTTCCACATATAGCACGCATTCGCTATTTCTAGTATTACACCTCTCGCCCTGTCTTACAGCTGGCTGAGCAACTGAGAGGACACACGGCACTCTCACCTCTAACTGTGAACCTGAACGTGAAGAGAAGTTTCTCTACCTCCATACTCTAGGCAGAGAATGGACGAAAATCGCCTACAGAAACATCACATTTTTCTGGTCCTCAAGATAGCCAAAAATATCCGTTCATGTCAAATATTTTCCAGAATCGCTGGGGAGCTACATAATAGGCATCGAGGTAGAGGTGTTGCTTCAAGGCCGTTAGACCCCATGACTACGAAAACGGAAAGAGGAACGTAGATTATTCATACGGAACAACATTAGAAATGATCTGCGAGACCACTGAAAATGGCTTACTGGGGGTGCCTGGGTTGCACAGTCAGTTAAGCATCTGAAACTTTGATTCCGGTTCAGGTCTGTGGGCTCGAGCCCTGTGACAGGCTCTGTGCTGACGGTGCAGAGCCTGCTTGAGATTCTCTCTCTCCCTCTCTCTCCGCCCCTCCCCCACTCAGGTGCACGTGCACACACTCTCTCTCTTTCAAAAATAAATAAACTTAAAAAAAAATGGCTTAATGGGTGAACCAGTACGTTTCAAGCCCAGTATGCTCTACTTTTAATCCTAGTCTTTGTTGATTATTGGAAAAGCATGCTAAGATATATTTAGAGAAAACTGAGGAGAGATGCACTTTATTATCTTGATAATATTATATACCTTGAAGGAGAGGGGGAAAAAACATGTCAGCCCTTCAAGTTACTTGTTTGGCAAGACTAACATACCTGAGGAACAGAATTCCATTTGCTTCAGGATTGTCTTGTTAAATTTGACCACCTCTTCAGTCCTCTGCTTCACAATGAATTCTCAGTTTTAAAAGTTAATTCTAGGGGCGCCTGGGTGGCGCAGTTGGTTAAGCATCCGACTTCAGCCAGGTCACGATCTCGCGGTCCGTGAGTTCGAGCCCCACATCGGGCTCTGGGCTGATGGCTCAGAGCCTGGAGCCTGTTTCCCGATTCTGTGTCTCCCTCTCTCTCTGCCCCTCCCCCATTCATGTTCTGTCTCTCTCTGTCCCAAAAATAAATAAACGTTGAAAAAAAAATTAAAAAAAAAAAAGTTAATTCTATCCTCTTCCTGTCCAGTTTTACTACTATCATACCTGCCCTGAGGAAAAGAGTGTTAATAATGTGCCCTTTCATCTTTCTCCACACATAAGCAAACATAACAAGCATGATTCACTTAGGGTAATCAGTATACAGCTTCGAATATACCAACAACCCTAGCTTCCGATCACAGTCACCATGCCCACTGTCCCAAGGCCATGGACTCCTCACCAATGGGACTAGCTCACCTTCTCTCTTCATATATAATGGACGTCTGGCTATTTTACCAATATGGTAGCCCTACGCCAACAAAATGGTCGCTAGAATGATCTCAGTCCAGTGGTTTTCAACCCTAGCTGAAAATTAGAATCCTAAGAGTAGCTTAAATTCTTTTTTCTATAACCTAATCACACCCCCGATCAACTATATCAGAGTCCTAAGAGGTGGAATAATCTCAGGCATCAGTGTTTCTTCAAAGCTTCTCAGTATAATTTCAGCGCACAGCTAAACTGAGTATGCCCACCAAGCCAGATAAAGCAAATGGCATATTTACCTGTCTATCCTGACCACCCCAACCAGTCTTCTCATTAAAGAGTTGTGGGACAAGCTCGCAAAAATGAAATAGCTGAGGTTTGTACTTACTTCTGTCCCAATTTTGACCTGTCCTGACCCAATTCGCCCTGCACGAACCAAACTAATTTTGCTAACACTGCAGAAAGAGCCATCCACTGAGGTGATGAATGTGTTAGCTGAACCTACTGTGGGGGGCCTGGGTGGCTCAGTTGGTTAAGTGTCCACCTTTGGCTTATGGTTCGTGAGTTTGAGTCCCACATTGGGTTCTCTGCTATCTGCCTTAGATCCTCTGTCGGTCTCTCTCTCTCTGCCTCTCCCTGGATCGCACGCCCTCTCTCTCTCTCTCAAAAGTAAATACACATTAAAAATAATGTTCCAACTTCTTGTGGAAATCATTTCACAATACATATATCAAATCGTTGTCTTATCCACCTGAAACTTATACAATGTTATATGTCAATTATATCACAGTAAATCTGGCAAAATGAAATTAAAAATAAATAAATAAGCAAAATGTTTTTAAAGACAGAAAAGAAAGAGTTTTCGCTTTGAGGATGGTTCCGCCACCTTTGCCTTTGAATATGCTTGCTCAGGGAAGCTAGTATTGAGGCCATTTATTCAAACATTGGCGAATATCCAGGCCGAGTTAATAAGTATCTCCAGTGGCGTTTGTGAAACTTGCAGATTCCGCAGTCCTGCCCTCCAGTCATTCTGAGTCTTTAGACCTGAGGTGCAGCCCAGGAATCTGTCCTTTTAAGGGGACTACCTGTATAAATCTTACACGAAGACAGCTTTGGAAACTACATAACTCTTCAATGAGGGAAGGACAGTTATCCAAAATAAATACAAACCATGGCCTTTCCCCAGGACTTTTGACAGTGTGTGTGTGTGTGTGTGTGTGTGTGTGTGTGTGTTGTGTGATATCTCCCAGAAATTTTCAATAGTGGGGAGAGAGAGAGATTGACTCCTGGCATATGGCATGTCTCATAACATAAGCCAAGGTATCAGAAAGCAGCAAGGAATAAATTATTCCGACATAAGGGGTTGGAGGATCTTCCAGAAGACCTTTGGGTTTACTCGTCCACTGCAAAGGCTGCCAGGGACGACATCATGATGGCAGGGAAGCGGGGAGACGTCTATGAGCAATACGATCTGGTGAAATTCCAGAGCCACTGTGAGGTCAGAAACAGAAACGTCCTCTTTCAGTGAGGGTGAAAGTCAGAGTGCACAGGAGATAAGAGTTAAAAGGTACAAGACACCAGGGAAGAAACTTGTAACCTCCTGATAGGAACAAAATAACCAACAAAGATATTTTAACACTAATAGTAGATCTTTCGATGGTTAGAAATAGAGGAATAAAAGAAGAAATGATCTTTCCCAGGGGAATAAAGAAAAACTCAAATGTGTGGGAGTCAGGTGCAGAGGCGTTGACCTTTGAGGAATAATTTTGTCTTTGTGCAAATGACAGTGACTGAAAGCTACTAAAGAAATAAAAGAGTAAAGTTGCTTTTTTTAATCTGTGTTAGACTTGTGTTTCAGTCCTGTATGATAATTAGTAAAGCCTGCTCACTTGAACTATGATGAAATAATTATGTTTCCAAATTTGTGCTTACGTATATTTTGCTCATAATTTTCACTACATTTTCACATTAGACTTTGATTCCTTTGTTCTAGAGTTTCTGTTAGTGCCTATGTAAAATTTCAATCAGCTCTCAATTTTAAATCTTTAGAGATTAAAAGGCTACTGGATGTAGTGTGATGTTCTTTCAAAGGATTATCAAAGTAGTCTGAAATGCACCTAGCTCAGAACTCTGATCATGTCAGTTTTTCCAGTGAATTCTAGATCTCTGGTTTGGCCAGATGAGTATTGTGGGTTAGTTTACCATTCTACCGAGCCTCTACGCAGCTGCACAATTATATGAGGAGCAAGTAAAAACCATCTCCTTCACCGAATAAGCAATTTTGTCCCAGAAAAACGTTCAAGCTAGATTTACGATGTTCGGCGACTACCGTGCAGGGACGCTGACCAGCTATGCCGCAGGAAAGTTCTGAAAAATAGAACACAATGGTTCTACTATCTTCACACAATTCTAATACCCAGATTACCCAAGCAATAACCTCAACATTACTGATCTAAAAAAATGATAGTATAAATACTAAATGATGTGCTACTCCACCTATATGACAAAGCTCGTACAAAGGGTACGAGCAAACAATTTGCCAAGATACTAAAATATTTTCAAATCAGTTGGTATAATGCTGCTGCCCTAGCCGCCAGCACCCCTATCCCAGAATCCCCCAGATCTCTGTCACAACGGGGCCTCCTGAATGTTGTTCCAGGGCTGCTGGCTGCTAAATATTCAAACGTCACCCCTGTGCACTTGTGCATGTGTGATGACAGAACAGGAAAAGAGCCTTTTATTTGAGGGAGGAAATTCAGTGAAATGATGCTGAGATAGAATAACAGGGCCATACAGTGGCTATTCTCCCGAGGTCCCCAGCAGTCACCAGAACATCAGATCAGAAGCCATCAGACGATGAAGCAGAGGATGTTCCGTGAAGTTTATTTGCCTGATAGTTTACGTACACAGTCATCTTTTCATGTTTTTGGCTGTGGTCGGGTAGCCTTCTCTTTCTTCACATGAACGTAATCACAAGTCCCTTACATCTTGGTGAGTTCGGAAGATGCGTATTAATCCAGATCTTCGATCTTCACTAATGTAGCTGTCTTCTCACAAATCCAAAAAATTTCAGCGCTGCAGCGGGAAAGATAAATCTTTCCTTTCTGAAAATAGGCACATCCTTTCGATCCATTGATCTGGGTGTATTCTCTAGGGCTGAATCTGGAAAGTCATCCATTTAAAATTAAAGACAAATTTCATATTTGAAATTTGATCACAATTCAGTGTTCTCAGTTACCGAAAACCATCTATCTGAACTTTGAGAGACTTCTGGTTCCACAACATCTCAAAGTTTTTTTTTTTTATTTAATTTTTGTTAATGTTTATTTATTTTTTTAGAGAGAGAAAGACAGAGTGTGAGTGGGGGAGGAGCAGAGACAGAGGGAGACACAGAATCCGAAGCAGGCTCCAGACTCTGAGCTGTCAGCACAGAGCCCGATGCGGGGCTCGAACTCACAAACCGTGAGATCATGACCTGAGCCGAAGTCAGACGCTCAACCGACTGAGCCACCCGGGCGCCCCCACAACGTATCAAAGTTCTTCAAGCTGGCATATCTGAGTTTTTCATTTCAAGTTAATCATAATCCCAGGTAGAATTATTTAAGCAGGATACTTAAGTTCTGGGTTGAGAATTTGTAACCTCTCCATTAACATGGTAGAAACTACCCAGCACATATGATATTAGAAGTACTAGGATTTCTTTACTTTGGAACTTTATGAAGGAAAACAGACAAGTGAAATCACGTTCTGGGTGGACATTTATTGCATTTTGTTATGCACAAATATAATTTTGTGTATATATAATTTTGTGTTATGTATATATGTATACACACACGTGTGGAGGAGGAAGAAAGAACACGATAAGGGTTAAGGGAGAACATAAGTGACTACATAGATGTGGTTCTGATACCTGTCCCTAGTTCCTCCGTAAGGAATTGGTGGTAACCCTTGAATAACGTCATTACAAATCATGCTCAGCCGGTCTCAACCTCCTGTGTGCCTTTTTACTTGCATGATCTGCATAAACTGCAGTGTTCTTTTCTGGCTTCAGGGCCGGGCTTACTAAATCTTCCTCTTGGCTTCTGCGCTTGCTGAGATTAGCCTCACTCAGGAGGAAACGGCTGTGTGATTCAGAAGCTCAGTCCCAGCACCTTGCGTGATAACAGCCACAGTCTCAGGGCATCAGTGACGTCAGACTCTCCACCTTGCTGCAGGGACCATCTCCTCCATATTTTAACCGGGAGTGAGCAGAGGGGCCTGGGATAATGAAAAGTCCTTTGGGAGAAGGGACTCATCTTCGTAAAGCCCAAAATGGAAACAATGGCACTTCCCAGGGTACGGTGGCATGTTCTATAAACCCTCAGTCTAGCAGCAACACTCTGGATTAGTGTGTAATCATCTCATGACCAATATGGCTCCATTTGCAAAGAAGTGACTCTCATCTTTGTGTTTTTATTACTTTGCACATGCTCTTCGCCGTGAGTATTTGGGTGACCCAGACTAGTTGATTTAATATGACTGGTAGTGGTCATTCGCGAGCGCAAAATTGTCATGGTGTGTCCCACCCTGACAAAATGGTGGGAAATGGACAAAGATGACATATATCTGGGGACAAAAGTGCAGACCTGTCATTGTTTGTTATTCAGGGAATGTGGGGAGCCACCGCTGAAGCACAGTACCCTTGGTGGAAAATGAGTGATTATAACTCAGTTTAAGGAAACCTGGACGGGACGCCTGGGTGGCTCAGTCGGCTGAGCATTGGTTGACTTCAGCTCAGGTCGTGATCTCACGGTTCGTGGGTTCAAGCCCCGCATCGGTCTCTGTGCTGACCGCTTAGAGCCTGGAGCCTGTTTCGGATTCTGTGTCTGCCTCTCCCTCTGTCCCTCCCATGCCCATTCTCTGTCTCTCTCTGTCTCTCAAAAATAAATAAACATTAAAAATTTTTTTAAAAAAGGAAATTTGGACAACATGCATTAAGGAGTGAAACGGGAGTGAGGTGAATGGGTGAATAACTTGATGGGAAGGGAGGTGGAGAAAAAACCCACCACACCCAGAAATGTGCCAAATGACCTTACATTTCACGTAATGTACAAATACCACGTATTATATTAAAAGTACAGGGGCGCCTGGGTGGCTCAGTGGGGCGCCTGGGTGGCTCAGTGGGTTAAGCAGCTGACTTCGGCTCAGGTCATGATCTCGTGGTCCGTGAGTTCAAGCCCCGCGTCGGGCTCTGTGCTGACAGCTTAGAGCCTGGAGCCTGTTTCAGATTCTGTGTCTCCCTCTCTCTGACCCTCCCCCATTCATGCTCTGTCTCTCTCTGTCTCAAAAATAAACAAACGTTAAAAAAATTTTTTAAAAAAAGTACAAATACAACTGTATCGTCTTGATATAGTTGTGATGAGCTGTATTCCTCAAAATATTTGATTTGTAATCACTAAGAGAATTTTGTAAGACTGTGTTCCTTGACATATTTTTGACATCTATTTTTTCACAACTTTAAATAGTTGCAAAAACTGTAATTTTCAAAGTATCATGTATTCTACAGGTACACTAAATATTTCCTCAAAACCTTGAAGGTGAGGATTCAGCTCATTTTAAGTCATGAAAACATTTGCCATATAATCTAATTGGTAAATTCCATCAAAAAAACTAATTATTAAACTGATTTGCCAGTTTAGACATACTTGCTGTTAGAAAGTGGTTGACAATTGGAATTTAAATAAATGTGTTAATGTATGTCCATGATAAACACCACCCTCTGGACTGTAAGTGTTGGGCAGCCAGGGTAGCAGAGAGCCCAAGGTCATGATCACAAAAGCACTCGGTCCTGATTTTGCCACTTAGGAGCTCAGTGACCTCAGGCAAGTTATTTAATCTCTCTATGGCAATTGTTTCATCCCTTAAATAGGACTATAACAGTGCTTTTATCATAGGGCTAATATTTATAAACTGCTTCAAACAAAGCGTATTATTTGTTTTTTAAATTAAAAAGAAGAAATTTCAACTAATAGAAAAGCTTCCATGTTTTGCCATGAGTTTGTCACATACATGAAATTAGGTAGTCTTGCTCTCAATAGTTCTTCCTGAAGCTCTCTTTTCTTCGTACATTGTACTCTTTTATTTTTGTATCTAGATTTATAATTCTTACAGTTAACATTGATTTTCCTAGTGTTCCATTTCTTAGTATTCTTCGCTTGCTTTCCCCCCGCCCCCCATCACCCCGACAGTTGAAACTTACAAGGATGGAGACGGAATGGAGCCATCCTCCCATAGCCAGCTCTTTCCAGATGGATCCCATGATAAGCCCAACCAGAAGAAAGAAAACTTGGGTAATGGCTGTGACTTCAGAAAATCCTGAGAGAGACAACGGGGAAAATATCATGGGAGAGCCACATTCTGGTTTGCAGAGGTTAAGATATTCATTCTCATTCAAAATGCCCGAATTCCCACTGTGTGAGTCAGAAATTCCATGTATTTACTTTCCATCATATGAATAATGTCTATAACCAGGGAAAGAAATTCAGCCAGACCTTTTCCTCCAAGCTATCTATCTTCACCAAGGTGGAATTCTGGTCCAGACAGTTATTTCTGCTGTTAATCCAGGTATTTTCCTCATTTGTTGCAAAATAATAGCAGCTGTTTTGGTACCATTGCCACATTTTAGGGCAAGGATTGCATTTGTGGTCTGAAAAAGAAATGACACCCATTAGCACAAATTAAGTAATCCTGGCGTGACTGGGAAAGGATTTGGGAACTAAGTAATTGAACTTGATGATAGGGTCTGAGACCCAGCATTCTGAAAACATACCGCTTTAGGAGCCTGTGAAAATGAAATCACCCCCAATTATGGGCTGGGGCAACAGTGATCGAAATTCTCCTTCCAGGGCTCAGTCTTCTGGCCTCAGAGTTACCAGCTACACTTTTAACCTCTTTTTTTTTTTTTTAATTTTTTTTTTCAACGTTTATTTATTTTTGGGACAGAGAGAGACAGAGCATGAATGGGGGAGGGGCAGAGAGAGAGGGAGACACAGAATCGGAAACAGGCTCCAGGCTCTGAGCCATCAGCCCAGAGCCTGACGCGGGGCTCGGACTCACGGACCGCGAGATTGTGACCTGGCTGAAGTCGGACGCTTAACCGACTGCGCCACCCAGGCGCCCCTACACTTTTAACTTCTTATAACATCAGCATCACCTAAAAATGGTTCACACATTAAGAGGCTGAAGAATCCAGGTTGGGATCATTGCAAGATGCTCCCCAAATTCACCTCTGTGTTTTCAGAAATGTTAAATAAATTCCTATCTTCCCTTGTCCCCTGGAAATGTAGGGCGACATCATTAGGAGTCTTTGGATAACATAACTTTCTCATACTGCAAGGTGGCTCATGTGATCAGTGCCCACTGGGGCAACAGATTTGACCTGACGGTAGGTCCTGATTACCTGAAGTGCGAATGATCAGCTCTTGGCAGAGCTTGATGGCCATCTGTTCCTGCCGCTTCAATAGACTGGAGATCTGGGATTTGAGATGCTCCTCCTCAGTGGGAAAATTCCTGTAGTCGCTCAGCTGCTGGGAGAAGTTATCTTGCTGTTGGTGGATGGTTTTTTGCAGTTGACTTAATCTCTCTGAATCTGAGTTAATTTCATGAGATGTCTGCAAAACTCCAAGACATAATAGGATACATGTTCACATATCCTCTTATTCTCAGCCAGGGGTAATTCTTTTAACACAGCCATATTTCCTATATCATGTCGTATGTATTAGTGGCTCCCAATAATTGAAGCATCATGGACGAAGCGCACACGATTGCCTTGCTATTCCAAATTGTTTGGAGCTCATCCTTTATAATTGTATTGAGATTTTGCATCTGATTATACTTGTATTAAATGAATGAATTAATGAGTATAAATCTTTGATATTTCATCTAAGGCAATGCCATTTTGCCATTAGTCTAGTGTGTTTTTTTTTTCCTATTTGGAGTTGGTTCATGTAATTGGTGTTTTCATGGGAACAGAATCCTTTAAGGCAATAGGTATGGTGTGCCGACCACTTTTATCAGAATCATCCATATATTTGTTTTTTTTTTTTAAATGCAGATTTTAGAAGCACCTGGATAGCTCATTCAGCTGAGTGTCCAACTCTGGATTTCAGCTCAGATCATGATCTCACGGTTCCCGAGATTGGGCCCTGTGCAGGGCTCTGCAGTAAGAGTGTGGAGCCTGGGAGGCTGCTTGGGATTCTCTCTCTCCCTCTATCTCTGCCCCTCCCCTACTCTCTCCCTTAAAATAAATAAACATTTTTAATGCAGATTTTAATGCCACACTAGACTATTTCTGGCCCTGGATCCATAAAAAATCGGCCTCTTTAATTAGCACCTCAGGTGATTCATCGTCACAATAAATTTAAGAGTCACTGCCCTTCAGGAAAAAAAAAAACCTTCACCCGTCTATAGTGAACCAATGAATATGCATCAGTGCATCTTCATTTTTAAAATATACATCATTGTAGAAGATCAACTGCTAATCCCTAATGACTGGCTACTGAATAGTTGTTACTGCTGCTAGAACATCATGTTTCTTTCTAAAAGAAAGAAGGCTAAAAAGAAAAAAGGCTAAAGCCACATCATTAGCTCCTAGTTAAATGTTCAAACCAGTATGTCTAAATTCTAATTACCCATGAAATCTTCCACATGTAAAAATGAAAGAAAGTAGCATGGAAGGTGCTAGCATCCTCCAGAAAACAAACTTTCTTGCCTGCAAGTCCCCTGAAAGGGAATACTGCTTTGTCCATCATATACTTAACGACACCCTACAAAGTGTGTATTCTCGGGATGTTCTTCCACTTAATGTTAGTCCACAACTCCCTATCCTGTCCGACCCTGACGGTTCAAGGATGGGTCAGAACCAAGGGAATACTCTTTTTTGGGGGGCTATTGTGATTGGGACTGGAACTTCCATTGTTATGCAGAGGTGGTTCAACTTTCTATATACAGGGTAAGGTCCCCCAGGTAACTTCTCCTCTTTGTTTTTATCTCTTTTTCATTTCTAGCAGGCAGGCTGTTTCTACACTAGAAAGGTCTTGAGTGAGCAGATTAAGCCAGTCTTGTACTAAGTCTTTGGGGTGAATGAAACGGCACGCTTTTCCTTGAGTCCCCCTCCGTTGGCTCCCTGTTGGTCACCACTGGGATAATAGGTGGATGTACATCTATGCAGAAAAGAAGCTCCCCATTCCAACGAATAAAGAGAAAAACAAAAGCCGTGTTCATAATCCAGTCTAGTTTATTAAGAGGAAATGGATAAAATCCATTTCCCAAATCCTCATAATCATAAAGTCTGTCCCTTGGTTGTTGAGCTTAGAGACTTGGAAGAATGAAAGAGATGTGATCATATAATATTGTCAAACCTGAGTCTGCATAGTTTACAAATGTGTTTCCTAATCACCTTTCTTGGGTTCGATGAAAATATACTTACGCATAATCCCCAAGGTCACCAGCCCAATCAGCAGCATCAGACAAAGAGTTAACAGACTCAGGGCAGCCTGGCGCCAGATGGGGGAAGGAGCTGGACACCCTGAAGAAAGCCAACAGAGAAATTGTAGTTGCACATGAGTTTTTATTTCTCCCACTTAGGAAGCTTCCCCAGCTTCCTAAAATCTCCCTCTTATTTCTCTCTTTACTTTCTCAAAAATACCTAAAATGATGTGCAGTAAGATCTCTACCATCAGTGCTCCCCCACTTCTCTTCCCACCATTCTCTTTCCCTTTAAGAGTGTCTCCTAATTTTTAGGTTTGTGTTTTATATCATTGAACACCCTTCTTTAAGATTACCAAATGCAGGGGCGCCTGGGTGGCTCAGTCGGTTAAGCGTCTGACTTCGGCTGAGGTCATGATCTCACGGTCCGTGAGTTCGAGCCCCGCGTCGCGCTCTGTGCTGACAGCTTAGAGCCTCGAGCCTGCTTCCGATTCTGTGTCTCCCTCTCTCTCTGCCCCTCCCCTGTTCATGCTCTGTCTCTCTCTGTCTCAAAAATAAATAAACATTAAAAAAAAAAAAAAGGTTACCAAATGCATGTATGAGATGTGGTGAAAAATGCTTCTCTGGATGATCTGGACAATAGGGGAGACTTCAAGTTTTTGAGGTCACAAAACCTCCCCAAGGCTAGGATTATTATGGATTTTATTTTTATCAATTACATTCTATTTAGCATCTGGTAGGTAATGAATGAATACTGAATGAAAGGCAAAATTAACATGTAGTCTAATCTATGATATTTCTTTATTCAGAATCTAACGGCATCTAGCCCAACATTTTCAGACAGATTAATGCAAATTTCCAGGTGCACTGTCACATACAGCACAACCACAACTCCTTTTATCTCAAGGATTACAGCTATAACTTAAACAAACAAATAAACGAAAATGTATAACCAGTTTTATTAGACCCCATGACAAACCAATTCCCATCCTCTTTGCATATCGCCCTAATACCATGCACACGCACTCGTGCACACACACACACACACACACACACACACACACTCACACACACACTTAAAAATAAAGCCAAAGAGGAGAAAGTAGTTCCTATATATCAGATGATTTGGGCAACAACCTGAACTGTCAACAGATTATTAAAAATTAAGAATATAGTCTGATATACTAACCTGGATTCCTGACCACAGAGATTTATATTTCTTCCAACAAGGGATAAGGGAATGAGCTGAAGACTAGAACTGAGTTTGGACTCCACATACTAGTTGTAGGAACTTGGCTAAACCATTTAGTTTTTTTCAGCCTCAGCTTTGCTAATATTATTCCATTTACTTCACAATTATATTTTGAGAAAAATATGATATAATGCATATAAAATACTATACAGATACTGTTATTATTGATTCAATTGTACCAATTATACTGGGAATTTCCACCTTCTAAAAACAGTTCTTTTAAACTTCTAAAACAGAAATGATCTCCTGTCTGTTTCTGACTCACTCATCTTCCCATTCCTCTCTTCAGTTATTTGTACTTTTGAAAAGAGAAATTTCCCCCACTTTCTCTATTTTAGAAGCCTCCCATCTGACTTCTAAAAGAATATTTGCCTGGCATCGTCTCACAAGGTATCAATATCACGACTTCACTTTTAAAAAGAAATCCATTAATCCCCAGATTCGATTTCTCTCGTATCCAATATGTTTCACTATGGCACAGAGCCTCAAGAAATATAGTGATACCACACGTTTAAAGAGATCTTGGAAGGTACATGTTTTCTCCCCCAAATTGGGAACATCCATTCCACTTAACTCATCCCACAACTTTGTCTCCGTTTCGGAGATTCTGCAGCACACCTCTCCTTAGCATCAACCTCAAAGCATTTAACACCTGTGCATCCCCCAAGGTCAACATCTTGCTGTCTCTGAACGCCTACCTCTTTTCCTTAGGTTATTTCTGTCCCGGTTATTTCTTGCTCCAACAGAATCCTGAAATGTGAGTGTCGCGTAAGTCACTTCTTCAGACATTGTAGAAGAAAGCGCTACTGTAAATTACTCAATTAATGTTGCAATGTCTTCAGGCTCAGGAACAGGGTGTTCTTCTCAAGGCTGGGCGCTTTTATAAACACACTCTACTGACCCAAGACACACCCCACCGCCCCTCTGTAAGGACAGAATGACAATCAGTTTTTTGTTTTTTGTTTTCGTTTTTGTTTGGTGTGTGTGTGTGTGTGTGTGTGTGTGTAGAAAGAGAAGTCAAGTACCTTTCTCTTTAGAAACCAGAATAAAAAAGATCTCAATCCCTCTGTTCTTTCTGCACTGCTTCTTGTGAAGCAATAGGGGTACTTGGAAGCAGAGCCCGGATGGCGGTTTCCTGGGGGAATTCCCATGATCCTCAGGTAGAGGATCTGAATGTTTCAGTAAAGGGTCCGACTGTCGTGTTTACATGTGTCAAAGACCAGCTAAGCCTGTATGAAGACATTGGATCTGGTTTATACTCACTCATATCAGATAGACCCGTGCAAGACAGAAAAAGCTGTGTAGGTAAAGACCAACCACATTTAGCTGCTGTTTTAAGAAATATGTGTGTGTGTGTGTGTGTGACAGAGAAAGACAGATTGTGGAAAGGGGAGAGTGGCAATACCAGCAATGGAACATAAAGAAGAAATTGATAGCTGTTAAAACTGCGTACCCATGGCAGGTCCCTCTGGCATGGCTAAACTCCAAACAGAATAATCCCTCTGGAGATAACAACTAATATGCAGGACGAGATTTAAAAAGCAACTACCAGAAGTTCCGGGATAGTGAAAGAAAGCAGGCAGATTCTGGGGACAAAAGGGCTGGCTCATGGTGTGGTGCTTTTGGTTTTGTTTTTAATTTGTTTATTCAGTCGGTTTTTAACCTGCGGGCAGCCAACAGTCGTTGTTGTGGGGCAGCTAAAACTCCTAGAGAATAGACGCCATCTTTCAGGTCTGAAAATTTCGAAGACTGGAGTTTGGGGCAACCGGAAGAACAAACAGTGCTGGGTAGTCACGGGGACCACTGCAAATGGGGAATCTCTAGAGAATCTTTACGCCTTGAAGCCTCTTTGAGCTACAAGTTATATACATCTCATCTTAAAAATAACTTGATAAAATAACCAAGCTCTATGTTCTCTTTCTTAGGACTCAAAATGCCCTGAAAAGGTGTTTCCAGTAAAACTGAAGTCAACCCACTGCACAAAGATTTCACTGTGATGCTTTGTTTCAACAACATCCTATGAGCAAGAAAGTGGACGATTTTTTTAAATTTATTTATTTATTTTGAGATTGAGAGTGGGGGAGGGGCGGAGAGAGAGAGAATGCCAAGCAGACTCCGTGCTGTCAGCCCAGAGACCAACATGGGGTTCCATCTCACCAACTGTGAGATCATGACCTGAGCCAAAGTCAAGAATCAGACGCTTAACCAACCGAGCCACCCAGGGGCCCCAAAGCAGACAATTGATATAGCAAGTGTTCTGGCTATTATCTGGAAGAACATGAGAAAAAAAACAGCACCTCTCACCTACGGTTGGTCATTTAGTTCATCGGCATCAGACTCCAGGCACGGCATTTACTTCTAATCCCATCATCGCTTCTTATAAAAATTCACTAATTTATATTTGAAAAAATAATTGTTGTGGAGAACCTGTGGAAGGCAGAATGACAGCCCTCCCCCAAAGACGTGCACCTTCCCCTCCCCAGAACCTCTGAATAGAGTAGTTAGCATGGCAACAGGGATCGCAGATGTGACCAAGGTGACAGAGTTTGAGATGAGGAAGTTATCCTGCGTTATCTGCCGGGCCCAATTTAAGCTCACGAGCCCTTCAAAGTGGAGAACCTTTCCTAGATTCGGGCAGAGAGAGACAACATTGCTAGCTGAAGGTGGGGGAGGAGGGCCAGGAACCAAGGAAGAGGCAAAGGAAAGGAAACGGGTGCTCCCACAGAGCACTCAGAAAGGAACACAGCCCCGCTGACAGCCTTGATTTACCCCCGTGAGATCCATGTCAGATTAATAACCCACCGAACTGAGAGACCTTAAAGTTGCGTTGTTTAAGCTGCTTTATTTGTAGAATTTGCTAAAGCAGCAAGAGGGAACTCACACAGGACCCAAAAAAAAGTTTTTTGGGGGTCTATATATGAGCAAGGAACTAAGAAATCTTTTCTAAAGTTTCCTTTGGGGTAAGAAGGAAAAGATTACATAACAGTACTGGTGGGGGGTGTTTTGGTGTAGGTTTTTGTTTTCAAATGGCTGAAGGACTTGATCCAGAACCTTCAAGGTCCACCTCTGTGTGAAGATTATCTTCGTCAAAGTTCTCCAGAATAAACTGCCCGTATTTCATGGGTGTGAATGAATATCCGACAGGTTGCAGAAAGACAATGTGAAGATAATGATTCTTCAAAAACTTTTATGTCTGATCTCTAAACACACGAATGCACATGTATTTCTTGTTCCTGTTCTTTGGTTTGTTGTTGTTTTTTCAAAATGATGCAATGCTCAATCAAAAAAATAATTATCTCGAGGTTCTGAGTCATAATCAGTTAAACTCCCCTGTCAAAAATGTGGAAGTAAATAACAAATTTACGTTTCTGTTTACTATTCTATGTAACCGGCAAAGGCAGAGGCCATCGATACGAAGAAAAGTTAAATTAAACAGGTGATTACAAAAACGAAAACTCAGGATGTTTTTCTCTCTCTCCTTTGGTCTTTCTCTTTCACCACATTCTGCAAAGGCTGAGTATTCATTTTCATTGCCCTGATTCTTTCATACCCTCAAGTTCCCTAAGAAAGCATTTAACCTCTTACAGTATTATATGAAATTATACTTGGGTTTTAAAACCGTGATGC